CACTCTTGAGAATCCACTTGAATTGTGGCAAGCGCTGAAAAAGCGATATGACCATCAGAAAATGGTCCAGTTGCCTCAGGCAGATTTCGACTGGAAGAACCTTCGGTTCCAGGACTACAAATCCATAGATGATTACAACAACGAACTCTTTCGTATTGTTGCCATCCGGAAACTCTGTGGCGAGGATGTGACAGATAATGATCTCCTCGAGAAAACATTATCCACATTCAGCACAGAGAATGTTGTGCTCCAACAACAATACCGTGCAATGAAACACACATTGTACGAAGACTTGTTGTCATGTCTTCTCCTCGCTGAGAAGAATAACCAGCTGCTTATGAGGAACAGCGCTATGAGGCCCCCGGGATCGGCTCCTGTCCCAGCTTCTCGTCAAGAGTCCTACCATGTTCAACCCGATAGATCCTCAGATCACCGCCGTGGACGTGGTAATGGACGTGGTAATGGCCGAGGACATGGACGTGGCAACCGACCTAACCTCAGTTATGGTCCTGGTCGTGGTCGAGGCATCACCAAGCCGACCCGCCACACCAACCCCGATCACTCTGCTTGTACCAGATGTGGGATGTTCAACCACCCAACAAAGCAATGTCGCACCCCCAAGATCCACTGCGATCTATATCAGAAGTACGGAAAAGCTCCTGCTGAAGCCAACATGACTCAGCCAGTCAATGCTGCTAACCTGGAAGGTGACGACCTCCTTGATGATGAGAACACCACAAACGAGCAGACCGACCCCATGGACTATGAAACAGCTGATCTCCTCGATTAATTCAATAATCTGAAACTCTGATACAATTTGATTTTGTTCTTTATTTTTTTTTTTTCATTCATTTTGGGATTTGTTTCATTTTTTTTTCCATTTGCCTTTATTCTCAGACACTGCTTTACTTTATGATTTATCACATTTTCTGAATTCCTCAATACTGAATTCTATCTTCTATTCATAATGAAGCACACCAGCAAATGGAAACCATAGTCGTAGATAGTGGATCCAGCCACACTATCTTAAGAAACAAAAGTTACTTCATAAACCTAACCTATCAAACCGCAAATATTAGCACCATCGCGGGTCCCTCAAACCTTATCGAAGGATATGGCCATGCCTATGTGTTGCTATCAAATGGCACACAACTTGAAATACCAAATGCTCTATATTCTCCTAGTTCGAAGAGAAATCTTCTGAGCTTCAAGGATATAAGACAGAATGGTTTCCACATAGAAACCCAAGGTCAAGGGAACAAAGAATCCCTCCTAGTCACTAAAACCGTAGACGGCCATAAACAAATCCTCGAAACCATACCCGCGCTCTCTACTGGACTTTACCATGCTAAAGTCAGTATGATTGAAGCTAATACCACTCTCAAAGCCCGGTTTACTGATTATACTATTTGGCACGACCGGCTCGGTCATCCCGGTGCAAATATGATGCGTAAACTAATTCAAAACTCTCAAGGGCATACCCTCAAAGAAAACCGAGCTTATCCTCAACACCTCATGTGCACAGCTTGTTCTCAAGGCAAATTGATCACTCGGCCTTCACCAGTTAAAATCTCTAAACAAACACTTCATTTCCTAGAAAGAATCCAGGACGATATCTGTGGACCTATACATCCATCTTCCGGACCATTCCGGTACTTCATGGTCCTTATAGACGCATCGACCCGTTGGTCATATGTTTGTCTCTTGTCCTCTCGGAACCAAGCCTTCGCTAGGTTCTTGGCCCAAATCATCAAATTACGGGCCCATTTCCCTGCCTTCCCACTAAAGACTATCCGCCTTGACAATGCTGGTGAATTTACCTCACAAGCGTTTAATGACTACTGTATGGCCATGGGGGTAACCGTGGAACATCCTGTAGCACATGTCCATACTCAAAATGGATTCGCTGAATCATTCATTAAACGCATTCAATGGATAGCCCGACCATTACTCATGAGATCAAAGCTCCCGGCCTCAGCATGGGGACATGCAGTATTACATGCTGCTGAACTCATACGCATCCGGCCATCTAGTGAACACAAATATTCCCCATCCCAACTACTCTCGGGTCATGAGCCAGACATCTCCCATCTCAAAACATTTGGGTGTTCAGTATATGTACCCATTGCTCCACCACATCGAACCAAAATGGGACCTCAAAGAAGGATGGGAATATATGTTGGTTTTGACTCTCCCACCATCATAAGATATCTCGAGCCAACCACTGGAGATCTCTTCAAGGCCAGATATGTGGATTGCCAATTCGATGAATCGGTATATCCCTCTTTAGGTGGTGAGACAAACAAGCTGGTCAAAGATCTTTCATGGAATCAAACATCATTAAATTGGCAAGATCCTCGGACTCTAGAATGTGATTCAGAGATCCAAAAGATTATTCATTACCAAAAGCTAGCTAATCAATTGCCAGATTCCTTTGCTGACCCGACCAAAGTAACCAAATCGTACATCCCAGCTTGTAATGCACCAGTACGAATAGCTGTCCCAACGGGACAGACCCAAGTTGCTACAGAGTCTGCACCACGTCTCAAACGGGGCAGACCTCTCGGTTCCAAAGATAAGAATCCCCGGAAATCAAAGAAAGGTGCAATAACCGAAACCGGGATTCCTGCAATATCAGACATAGCCGCGGCTGAGACTCAATCTAATGAACCCTCAATGGAAGTTCGGGACGCCGAATCTCCAGGTTCAGAAGATAACAATGAGATCTCCATCAATTACAATATGTCCGGAATACAATGGAATCGAAATGAAGTCGACTTAAATGCACTCTTTGCATACAAAGTAGCACTTGATGTTGCGCTCACGCAAGAGGATCTAGAACCCATGTCAATAACACAGTGTACACATCGAACAGATTGGCTAAAATGGAAAGAAGCCATAAACGTGGAATTAAAGAGTCTCAAACTCAGAAACGTGTTCGGTCCGATCATCCGGACCCCATCACACATCAAGCCAGTGGGCCACAAATGGGTCTTTGTGCGCAAAAGGAACGAACTCGGTGAAGTCGTTCGATACAAAGCACGGCTTGTAGCACAAGGATTCTCACAGAGACCCGGAATCGATTATGAGGAGACTTATTCTCCAGTGGTGGATGCAACAACATTCCGATTCCTCATAAGTCTGGCCATAAGAGAAAATCTTGATCTGCGGTTAATGGATGTTGTAACCGCATATCTCTATGGGCCCCTGGACAACGAAATATATATGAGACTCCCAGATGGCATTGAACTAAAAGACAAAAATGCATCTCGAGATCAATACTGCATCAGGCTGAACAAATCCTTGGATGGACTGAAACAAAGTGGGCGTATGTGGTACAACCGCCTCAGCGATTACCTCATCAAAGAAGGCTACAAAAATGACCCCATCAGTCCATGCATCTTCATCAAGAAGTACTCAAACAAAGGATTTGTAATCATAGCAGTATACGTGGATGATCTAAACATCCTCGGAACATCTGGTGAGATCTCCCAAACAGTCGACTGCTTAAAAGCAGAATTCGAAATGAAAGACCTAGGCAAAACAAAGTACTGTTTGGGATTACAACTTGAGTACATCAAAGGAGGAATCCTTGTGCATCAATCGGCTTATATCGAAAAGGTACTCAAGCAATTTAATATGGACCAAGCTCACCCATTGACCAGCCCAATGGTAGTTAGAAGCTTAAGTGATGACCCTCTTGGTCCCAAAAAGGATGATGAAGAAATCCTTGGTCCTGAAAAGCCATACCTCAGTGCTGTAGGAGCGTTAATGTACCTGGCTAGTCACACTAGACCAGACATATGTTTCGCCGTGAACCTCCTCGCTCGATATAGTTCATCCCCAACTCAGAGGCACTGGAACGGTATAAAACATCTCCTAAGATACCTTCGAGGTACTCAAGACTTAGGACTCTTCTATACTAACCAAAATAAAGATGGGTTAGTCGGCTTCGCCGATGCAGGATATCTATCAGATCCGCACACTGCCAAGTCTCAAACTGGCTACGTTTTTACGCATGGAGGAACAGCCATCTCTTGGAGATCAATGAAGCAGACACTCACTGCCACTTCATCAAACCATGCTGAAATCCTAGCCATTCATGAGGCTAGTAGGGAATGCGTCTGGCTGCGCTCCATGACTCAGCACATCCGCAGAGATTGTGGTATGGACGAAGACACACAGCCCACGGTGATGTATGAAGACAACGCGGCATGCATAGCTCAGCTCAAGGAAGGATATATCAAAGGAGATCGGACGAAGCACATTCTACCGAAGTTCTTCTCAACCTCAGACTGGCAGAAGGACGGCACTCTCAGCGTTCAGCAGGTCCGATCCAGTGAGAATTCAGCTGACCTCTTCACCAAATCATTGCCTACTTCAACACACCGGAAGCTCGTCAAACAGATAGGAATGTATAGACTTAGAGATCTGCAGTGATGCTACAATCAGGGGGAGTAATGCGTGTTGTACTCTTTTTCTTTCACCATGGTTTTGTCCCATTGGGTTTTTCCTGGTAAGGTTTTAATGAGGCAACATTCCCCAGCGCATTATCGAGATCCCGATTGAGTAGCTGGCCCGGTTCACTCGTCCAAGGGGGAGTGTTGTAACACATATCATATATGGACTCTTATACCGGCCCATTAGGCCCATCAGAGCATTGTACTTAACTTAGATTTCCTATATACTTTATATATACATTCCAGTGATTAATAAAGTTTCTAAGAAGTTTTCACAACAGTTTCAGTTTATTTTAACAATTTTATTTGTCCATTCAATATGTATTTATTTTATAAAAAAAATTAAACTTTGGTAGCACAAAAGTAATAAAATCCTAAAATGGCATTTGACTGAAATTTTAGGTTGACTTAAGTCAGGGGAATCCACACGTAGACCTCACTTTGAAAAAGTGGTGGCTCAAAACTGGTGGCTATGAATTTTCCCGATTAACTCGCTCTCAAATCCTTCTTCATAATCAAATCAAAATGCTTACTATATTTATTCTCCCATTCGCTTTATGACTCTCTCTTCTCTGCCAGCGAACATCCATTGGAGCTCCTTACTGTACGGCGCGAGAGACATCCCACGAGGATAATTTGGATAACTAGTCGTCTAAATCTGCTTCTTAGGTTTCTTGACTCCATTTTCTCGATTCTCTCTCTCTCCTCTTTCTTGGAACGGGAAAGAGGGAGGGAAAGAAAAAGGAGGAAGAAGAAGATTCTAGAAAGATCAATGGAAGGCTCAGGGACATGGCAAGGATTGATCCTCGTGGGTATTGCGACATGGATCTGTCTTTCTTCATATCTGAAATTGACCCATAAATTTAGATCTCTTCTACAACCATGGGTCGCTCGTCAAGTCGTCGGTGGTGTTCCTCTCATTCTCGAAATTCAGGTGCCTAATTTAGCCAAAAAACCAAACAGCTCTAAATAGTAGAATCCAAACTTCATTGTCTCTGATTTGGGGATCAGTTATAACCTTTCTTCTATGGTTATTGTATCGCAGAAACATCAGAATGGACTGCTGGATGCTTTCTTCTCGGGGCTATCATGTGTTGTCTCAGTGCCCTTTTACACTGCTTTTTTGCCTTTGCTCTTCTGGGTAAAATTCCAGACTTCTTCTTCTTCACCATTGAAGTTTGAAACTTCCTTTTCATTTGGATACCTTGAAGTTTACTAATCGGTGAGTGTAATTGCGAGGTGATCTTGCAGAGTGGACATGGTAGATTGGCTAGGCAGATGACTCTATTGATAGCATTCTGTGATTACTTGGGAAACTGCATAAAGGTATTAACTTTTGGGTCTTCTGTAAGCGCATTCTCTTAGTTTACAAGTTTAAAAGAAGGAACTTTCGGTTTATACAGTCTTCTGTATTTAGGATGTAGTATCAGCTCCTCGTCCTAGCTGCCCACCAGTTAGAAGGATTACTGCCACAAAAGACGAGGAAGACAATGCAATGGAATATGGCTTGCCTTCTTCCCATACTTTAAACACTGTTTGTTTATCCGGGTATGCTGTCGACTCTCGTAGTTATTTCTTAGCTAGTAATGCCTACCCTCGGTTTTACAATGTCGTGAGAAGATAAAATCGGCTAAAAGTTGTATCCGGAATGCCATCGAATCTGATAGTTAACAGTGGCTCACAACTGATGCTTACTGATAGTTGTTTATTCGGATATATACGAAACACTTGTGGTGTTATCTGTTTTCCTTGGTGTGAACAATGCATCGCTCTTTCTTAAAGCAAATTTTGCTTTGGGTATGAGGGTTTTAACACTTGTATCCTTATTGGTTGTTGTTACAGATATCTCTTGCACTATGTGTTATCCTCTTATGAACACGAAAATGCGTCTATCCAATACTATGGATTTGCACTTGCTTGTCTGTTGGTAGCCTTAATTGCCTTGGGTAAGATCATACTCATACCAGAGAAATGCACATACCTTATTAGTAATTGAATCCACAATTGACATCACTGTTTTTCTTCCTAGGAAGGATATACTTGGGTATGCACAGTGTAGTCGATATCATCTCTGGTCTTGCTATTGGAGTCCTGATTCTAGGTCTTTGGCTCACCGTCAACGAAAAAATCGATGATTTCATTACCTCAAAACAGAATGGTAAACATCATTCCTCCTAGTTTCACAAAATGCTTCTACTTGCAAACACTGAATAACAGAGAAGCCATGACTCTGTTGATTGTGCAGTTAGCTCCTTCTGGACTGCTCTGAGTTTCTTATTGCTCTTTGCTTATCCGACGCCCGAGCATCCAACTCCAAGCTACGAGTATCACACCGCCTTCAATGGGGTTGCGCTAGGAATTGTAAGCAATCAAGAGAAGTTATATAATGCAAGAGTGCTAATGGTTCATTCAGAAAATGGCCTTAAATTGATGGTTTTACTTGTCTTAGGTGGCTGGAGTACAGCAAACGTACAGCCAATTCCACCACGAAGGTGTTCCACGAATCTTCTCACCAGAGCTTCCTGTTTCAGCCTACCTTGGGAGAGTCATGGTGGGGATACCCACGATACTCTTAGTGAAATTCTGCAGTAAATCCCTTGCAAAATGGATCTTACCAACAGTATCCAACGCACTTGGGATCCCAATAAGGTCTAGCACATACATTCCCAGACTCAAGCTCGATAAAGAATATGCAAATGGGAAGAAGACGGACGAAGTTAAGATCTCGGTTGGGTATTTACAGAAACTATGCGAGTTCTTGAACCAGAACTCGTTTGATATTGACACCGGTATAAGGTTCTTACAATACGCAGGCCTTGCCTGGTCTGTCGTTGACCTTGTTCCTTCGCTATTCTCTTACATTAACTTGTAGCGACAGTTCCATTGTCTGGTATTATGAAAAAAAATCTTACATGCCACTGACCATACACAGTCTCCTCTGTAATGGCTTTGAAGAACTAAATATTCGTCATGTTCATAACAAAATGAAAAAAACAGAAACTGAAGGGAAGGGAAGGGAAGAATTGCGTAAAATTAAATCAAAATAATATCTCACAATGAAAAGATTCTGATACAAAAGGGAGCTGAATAAGTTCAGCAAAACACAAATATTCATGGGGGTTTTAAAGTTCATTGACCTCGTTGCCTATATTACACTATTCCAAGGAAAAGGGCTAAATTGATTTTAAAGAAAAGCAAGCTGGAACACAATGCGTTGAACCAAATGGAATAAGCAGAGATCTTCAAAAACCAACAACCGGACTTTGCAGCTAAGAGGAGGTGACTTGTGCTTATAGGAAGTAGTCAGGTGTCCTTCGAGTCACATCTGGTTCTCCTCTCCTCGGGGCTGGTTCAAACTGTTTCACAATTTAGACTTTGTTAGTTTTTATCCTTTCGCAGAGGTCAAAATGAAGATTTCTAGACAGAGTTTGCAAAAGACCTGAATGAAGGTGTGGTTCCTGCAGTCATCGACCTCAAGAATGGAGGCCATGTTTCCACAGCGATAGCAATAGTTTGGTGCACTGAAAATAGTAACCACCTTTTGCTCCTGTCAAAGGGAATATATATTTAGACATAGTTAGCAAAGATTCTCAGGTCTGGCTTATCTATGCAGGGAAGAGGAGTTTGATTGTATTACGTGTGCCCAGTTGAATCCATCCATAACCAGCTGATGTGCTCGGGCAATCAGTTTTAAGTTGTTAGTGTGATTGAATTGTTCGGAAATGTCCTATGGAAACAAAAATGAAAAAAACGAAAGTCAATTACATACTTCTTTGCAACCAAAAAAGAAAGGAGATTCAGGACAGCTTCTGAAACTGAGGCTTCATAATTCAATACCTGACCAAATGTATATCCGGCACCACGAGGAGAAATTCCCCAGCCACATCTGTCATCAGGATCAGACCATAATAAGTCACACATAGGCCCTTCATGAGGAACTTCTTGAACTCTATCAAAGTTCCTAATGTTGTCAAGGGTCTCAATAGAAGGTGACAATCCACCGTGAAGGCAAAATATTTCTGACTCCACCTGCAAACAGGGCATATGACGTGAGATAGATAGCCTCGTTATTTGTTGGAACTAAAACTCTTAGACAGCACCATCAGTTAATAAGAGCAAGTAGTAGCAGATGCAATTTATATCATCATTCACAACATTTCAGAATACAAACCATCTCTAATTGAAGGGCCACTTGCCAACCAAATATGCTAACACACGCACAAGCATGCAGACAAAAAAAAACAATCTATTCATTTTATCGAATATTGAGCGCGCCAAAATAGACAATAGGTCATCTATCGGATATTGAAAGCGCCAAAATAGACAATGGGTCATCTATCCAATATTGAGAGTGCCGAAACAGAATGGGTCATCTATATTATAAGAGTATACAAAGATGTACGTTATGACTAAGTACTAACCAAGGCTGTCAGAGGGAAATAGTCAAAGAGGTCTGTAAATATCTTCCAAACATTCGCATTGCCATACCTGCAAGTACAAGAAAGCTTTTTCAAACAAAATGCAAACGAAATAACCCAAATATTTTCTAACAGGCATAGAAGGAGAAATGTATGTCTTTGATTAGCACCACAAACAACTACGGTACGAAAAATATACCATTGAGAACAGTCAAATGAGAAAAGCAATATCATTCGCGAAGGTTAATACAAACTAGCCAGAACTTGGAAAAAGAAAATATTGATATTCGCCCATTAACAGACACGAGCAACAACAATGGAAACCAAAAGTACGTGCAGAATATTAGTGAAAAAAGAAGTTATATGACATGAACAAAGTGAGTTAACAGTTTATACAGCATAAGGATGTTTGAGACTCACTTTCGTAGGCATTCATCATAAAATCCATAAACCTGAGTAATCTGCCAGAGCAAAAACAGTGTGTTAAACCATGAGTCAGATAAAAAAGATGGAGGACAAAACTTACAGCAACAAAATATAGGAAAAGCTTCACTGACTTCTAAATGTATATAGCATAGACATGAATAACTAGATTGTAGTTGTGAAAAAGTCTCGTCTAAGATTTCAATGACACAACAGAAAAACGTTTTCCACACTGTATACCTCAGAATGTGAACGTACAAGTAAAGACAAAAGTAATTTTACCTGACGACTTTCATGGTTTCCCCTAAGAATAGTGATTCGCTGAGGATACCGTACTTTCAAGCCAACTAACAGCTGGAAATGAAATTGAAACAGAAAGAAAGTATGAGCAACGTTAATCTAACATACATACATAAACTTTACGAAGAGAAAACATCCATAGACACAGAACATTTGATTTAACAATATAACAAGAAAAATATGTCTTTCTACTTGAAAATCAGAATATTATTACTGAAAAAAAAAATCTGCAGATGATGTGAGCGTCGTACCGTAACAGTTTCGACAGAATAATATCCACGGTCGACATAGTCTCCCATAAATAGATAGTTGGTGTCAGGGCACTGCAAAAGAGTGTAAGATGAACATTCATCAGACAACAAAAATTAGAACCAGAAACGTAACTTAAGCACTACTGTCAAATATGACCCCTTATAGAAGGTTCCAAATAGTTCTGATTATTCAGAGAGCATCCACTCAGACTTTGTATTACCCAACCAGAACTAATAATTGCTAGAAAAGGGATTAAAAACCAGACTGCATCCTTATGTCCGTTGTGCATCTCAATAAGTGTTACAGATCTTACCTTTCCTCCAATACGGAAAAGCTCTGCAAGATCATGGAACTGTCCATGAATATCACCGCAGATTGTCACTGGGCTTTTAACAGGCTGCATGCAGGAAAAAAAAAATATAAAATTAACTATACTTAAACCAAACATAATGAATGTGTGCTTAAAATGAATTCAGGCTGGTTACACAATCTACCATATGGGAATTATGATAACCAAGGGATGCAAGATCAAAAACTAACCTGAACGTTGCTTTCATCCATCAAGATCTCCTTAGCTTTCTCGCATAATGATCTAACCTAAAGAAGATAAAGAAACAGCGCATGTGATAAGTTCATCTTCGCCTCTTTTAAGTGTTAACGAGGTGCAAGAGTAACAGTACAATCCAGTATCGATCATAGCACAAGAATGTAAATGTCAAACTGGAGACACCATTTTGACACAAGCAGCAAATAGAAAGATCATTTACAGCAAAAAAGGGCTTCTTTTTACAGATATTGACCAGTTTTCCCTCGTCATACACCAGCAAAAACTACTTTCATTTTCATTTTTGATCTGTTCGCTCAACTGAAAATCCAGTAATGCATCTAAATGATGAAATATGATCTTGTTAATCACCTGAGTCAGGCAAACCCACACTACAAGGGATATCAAAATGCCTATTCAGAACCCAATACAATCTTTTCAACCCATAAAACTGACGTGAAATTCGAACACCTGTGAGAATATTTACAAACGGACCTCTATCTATTCCCGAAGATCTTCTTAAAAAAAAACACCCTTTTCATTCAAAACAAAATCGGAGATCCAATCATCGATAGTGACCAAGTTAACCCGAAAACCAAAATACGGATCCAATTTAAACGACGAAAAAAGGGTAAGAAGAATCTGTTTTCTAAGAAAATCGCAGGCACCTGTTGCTCGGAGAGGGGCTTGCACTGCATGAGCTGTGAGATCTGCTCATCTAGATCGAGGGTTGAGTCCGTCGGAAGCGAATTCGCGCCCATCTTGTAGTTACTGCGTCTTCTTCCTCTTTCCTCTAGACGGATCCGGAAAACAGATCAGAAACCAGGACAAGGTTTCCAGATTAGGGGCAGCCCTAACCCTATATTTGGATGGATTCTGCGTATTCTTCGCTTTCTCTCTCTCTCTCTCTCGCTCCGTGTGCAGTGAGAGGAAATGGAAATGAGAGGGGCGCGTGAGGAAAGTGGCGAGTGGGTTTGTAGCTTTCGAGCCGTGTCTTCAATTTACTTTAATACCCTTTACTCTTTTGAGATCTAAATTTGAAAGAGAGACAAGTAAAATACTACTAAAATCTGTTTAATTAATTTTTGCTACTGTAGATTGAATGATCGGTTTTTAGTAATTCTCTCAATTATGATAAACTTTGAACTCTAAACCAAATATCATCCTTGTCTTTGACAAGAGTACCTAGACAATTTCTTGGTCTGCCCTTTTGTTTATTTATTTTTCTTGAGTGTGTGGTGACATGTTTTTTCTTTTTTGATAGATTTTGTTGCTTCATGTTGAGTTTGGAGCTAGTGACAACAAACAGAATGCAGAATGCAAGAGTAGAGATCAGACGGAATCCTCGCATCTTTTATGTCCTAATTCAATTATGATCTTAGCTCAAGAAACATTACTGCTACTATTATACATAGAATACACATTTGTCAATATTTATTATAATCCATGAATCTGGCCAGTAGCCACCAAGTCATGCAACAACTTAAGAACCTAAAATATGGCATTTTATCACCCTATACCTCTTACGTATATGTTGTTGACATGTGAAAAGTAGCAGTAACATTGCTAGCTAAACTTCAACCATTTATGTATACATTGCTAGCTAAACTTCAACCATTGTGATATGAATAATTTGAATACGTTTTTGTCCAAGATTTATGTATACATTTTCCTTGTTTCTCTAAAACCCAAACATTAAAAAAAAAAAAAATCAATGGCATCCGTCCTTAAGATTTTTAGAAATGGAAAGTTGAAAGAAAATGTTGGCGAAGAAATTATATTTTCACACTTCGTTAAAACAGAAATAGCAAAAAAAAAAAAACAGAAATAGCTTAAAAAATATTTTAGTTCTTTCTTAAAAATATCTAAAATAAAATTAAAAGACTAGCTAATCTCAAATTTTCGTAGGTCATTTGAAGTCAGATTAATAAAAGGTAATCATCTATTTTCTCGCGTTGTGTCCGATCCAAAAGCAAAACAAGGAATTTAGGGTTTTTCTCTCCCCGAGCTTTTCCGTTGGGTAAACGACTACCGTTGAATTGATTTCTTCGATTCGATTCGATTCTCTCTGCCGATTTTTGAGGTTCTATCTCTATATCCTCTCCTTTTTGTGTGTTCTGCGAACGTATCTCTCGATTTCGAGCTACCATTTTTGTCTCTTCTAATTTCGTCTTGAGTTGTTTGATAAGATTTGTTTGGGATTTTGGGGTTTCCTGTTTCCAGCTTATGGAGCTCGATTACAGTACCCAGATGCTATTTTGATTTCTAGGATTGCGTTTCTCTGCTAACTAGACCTATTTTGAATTTGCCAGGTTCCTTGTTTCCGCAGCTGCAATCGTTTTCATTATCTCCTTCTTTCGTTGATAAGTTTTCTTCTGGGAAGCTGCAACTTTTATTTCTAGATTTAGGACGTCACAAGTTTCAGTTATGAGTGCATCATGGGCAGATGTGGCTGATTCAGAGAAGGCCGGTTCTAGGGCAAAACCTGCTTATGTTCCCCCACATCTACGGAACAGGCAATCAGAGCCTGTTGCTCCTTTGCCTGAAAATAATCGTCCAGGGTATGGTGTTCAACCAGCTGCGTCTCGATGGACTCCTGGTGGTGCTGGTGGTGGCGCAGGCTACAGGGCTGATGCAGGGCGTCCCGGATATGGTTATGGTGGTGGAGGAAGCGGTGGTGGCTGGAACAACAGGAGTGGAGGGTGGGACCGTAAAGAACGTGAAGTAAACCCATTTGGAGACGATGCTGATTTAGAACCCGTCTTTACCGAGAAGGAGAATACAGGCATTAATTTTGATGCCTATGAAGATATTCCAATTGAGACCAGTGGGGGAGACGTGCCTCCTCCTGTTAACACATTTGCAGACATTGATCTTGGGGAGGCTCTGAATCTGAACATCCGGAGGTGCAAATACGTGAGGCCAACACCCGTACAGCGTCACGCGATTCCTATACTGCTTGGAGAGAGGGATTTGATGGCCTGTGCTCAGACAGGGTCTGGGAAGACAGCTGCTTTTTGCTTTCCAATAATTAGTGGAATCATGAGAGATCAGCATGTACAGAGACCCCGTGGTTTACGGACGGTTTTCCCTCTTGCAGTCATCCTCTCGCCAACAAGGGAGTTGGCATGTCAGGTAACATTGACAATCCATTCATTCCCTCAAAGAGTGAGTTCTCGGGGAAGATTATATGTATTTTATATACACTACTCTCATTATGTGGCTTTTTTGGTAGATACATGATGAAGCCAAAAAATTCTCCTACCAAACTGGTGTGAAGGTAGTTGTTGCTTATGGAGGAACCCCCATTAACCAGCAGGTAAAAACCGTACACATATAGTTCTTTTTTGGTTGTCAGATTTTTTCTTTGGTTATTGCTACATGCTTATATCACTGTTTTCTGGTTTATGTGAGTATCAGCTAATACTTGCTGATTTTGGTTGTCCTAGTTCTTTCCTTCGTAATGCCAGTCTCGTGTGTTGAAAATTGTTTTGATTTTGGAGTAAGTAATGCATAAATAATCTTGTATCTTAAAGCATTTTTTCCTATGTTGTCAACGTTGCCATTTCGCTTGGAGCATCATTACATAATATGCAGAAGCATTGGAGTTAATTTTCGTTGCAGGTGTTCGTCAACCAGTCTTCAAGCATGGATTTGTTGATCTCATCTTTAATTGTTTGTACAGCTCAGGGAACTTGAGAGGGGAGTCGATATTTTGGTGGCAACTCCTGGCCGGTTAAATGATTTGTTAGAGAGAGCTAGAGTCTCAATGCAGATGATTAAATTTTTAGCTCTTGATGAGGCGGACAGGATGCTGGACATGGGTTTTGAACCACAAATTAGAAAGATTGTTGAACAGATGGACATGCCTCCACGTGGGGTGAGACAGACAATGTTGTTTAGTGCTACATTTCCAAGGGAGATCCAGGTTGGTTTTACTTTTCCACTGTTTCCTTGTCTTGTTCTTGAATTCTATTCTAGTGAAGTAGAATGGTATGGAGAGCTTAATCTCTCAAAGGATGATAATGTTCTTCCCCTTATATCTGTAAATCATGATAGTGAACTTTGAGGGTTTAGTTTTAGACAGGCAAAGAGGTAAAATGCCTTATGAGTGTTAGATTTCGTATGTGAGAACTGCTGCGTAATATTTAGCACAAGAGTGTATGGTTCTTAACGTTTCTATTAATACCTGCATACTTGTTTCTTGTACAGAGACTCGCAGCTGATTTCCTGTCAAACTATATATTTTTGGCTGTGGGAAGGGTGGGTTCAAGCACTGACTTAATTGCTCAAAGGGTTGAGTTTGTCCATGAGTCTGATAAGAAAAGCCACCTCATGGACCTGCTACATGCGCAGAGAGAGAATGGCGCCCAAGACAAGGTGATCGATAGTGACCACTGTTGTTTGCTTATTTAAGATATCACGTCACATGGATTTGTCACGCCCTGACTAATGCTGGCTTTTCTTCTCCTTTCATACACAGCAATCATTGACATTGGTTTTTGTGGAGACAAAGAGGGGAGCTGACACTTTGGAAAATTGGTTGTGCATGAATGATTTTCCAGCAACCTCCATTCACGGCGATAGAACACAACAGGTTCGTTGTTAATCGTTTGAAGTTATATTCCATTGATGTAAATGTGAACATCTTACCTTGCTATTGTGAACTAGTATTATATACTTCACTCCAACTAAAGCTAAAACCAAATTACAAAACTATGATATTTATAAACAAGCTTGGTGATATTGCTGAAACTAACTCTTTCAGGTTCATCATCAAGAAGTTTGTTCTCTGTTGACTATTTCTGACTAAATTATGTGTGTTGTTATGCTTTAAAGGAAAGAGAAGTGGCACTGAGATCATTCAAAAGTGGGAGGACACCCATTTTGGTTGCAACAGACGTGGCAGCACGTGGGCTTGACATTCCACACGTGGCTCATGTAGTGAACTTTGATCTACCAAACGAGATTGATGATTATGTTCACCGTATCGGGCGAACAGGACGTGCAGGCAAATCTGGAATAGCAACCGCCTTTTTCAACGAGAAAAATGCAATACTGGCTAGGCCGCTCGCTGAGCTGATGCAAGAAGCCAACCAAGAAGTGCCTGAGTGGCTCACACGATACGCTTCACGTGCCTCATTTGGTGGTGGTAAGAAACGGGGCGGTGGTCGGTTTGGTGGCCGTGACTTCAGAAGGGAAGGGTCTTTCAGTAGAGGCGGAGGCGGTGGTGGTGGCAGTGACTACTACGGAGGAGGAGGGTATGGTGGCGGTGGATATGGTGGTGGTCCAAGTGGTGGGTACGGTGGTGGTCCAAGTGGTGGGTATGGTGCAGGAGTGACCAGTGCTTGGGATTAGCCGGTTAAGGCCTCCCAAATTTTCGTCCTTTTAACCTGACTTTATATTTCTTCTCTTCTACATTCACAAGAGAGAACATGTATTTGCCCCCACCTCTTAGATCTCTCATTCAAGAGATAGATATAACTAATCGTGCAATTAGGGGAGTCTCTGTTTTTGTTTTCAGGCTATTTTTAGGATTTGTCCTAAAAAAATAGACAGTAGTGTTTTCCGATTTTGATCTTGTTCTCGTGTTTCTTCTAACAAATTCATTTGTTAGTTTGAAATCCAATTTGTTTTACATTCCTTTGTTGTAGACAATCTTTCCTGGTGAAATACAATCTATCATTACAGCCTTTGAGAACTTTATGCTTACAGAGATCAAACTAAGTGCCATAAGACAAGATTGCAGTAATATTGTTGCTGTGTGAATCAACCGCAGATGAGAGAACATAAGTCTTACACTTGAATTCACCAGCTATAGCTATTCATCTTCTGAATCTTCTTCAAGTTCACTTCCTTCCACAATCTCTTCTTCTTCAGAGCCTTCTTCCTCAGGGCCATCATCGTCCGGCTTATCCAGCAAAAGTTCATCTCTCGAGACCATGCCTAACCCTCTAGCACGGTAAAGAAACCCTGTTCTCATCACATGATAGAACTTATCTCTAAGACGAGTAAGAGGATGCGGATCCACTAGTTTTCCTCGTCGATACCCTTCCTTGAGAATCACAGTTGTTGTCTTGCACTTCAATGAGAGGTAGAAAATCCCGGGGTATCGCGTGAAGAGACGAGTGAACTTATGAGGAATGTTGAGCTCTGCTCTCATGCTTCTCAAGTAGTTCCTCTTGGTTTTCTTGTGGATAGTCAAGCTTAAGAGCTCGTGCAAAACCCCAACAGCTCGTTTCTCCATGAGATCGCTTTCCGGGTCAATGTTACTCGAGTCATCGTAAGGAGATATGTAAGGAAGATTTTGAAACTCGTCCATCCATGCCTTGACCTTCTTCTGTGCTCCATATCCTCTGGGGAAACTCATAGGGAATGTTAATGCGGATTGACCTCTTTTGAACTCACGGTAACGAGAATCCTCCCCAGTGACTACATTGCTCTCGTTTCGCTTCTGCAACGCAGAGAATGCGAATTCATCACGCCAATTCACAAGCTTTAGACACGGGTTTCCATTAGAAGCCTTGACGAAGCAGAAATGATCAGGGTACTTCATGACTAGTGTCTTTTCGTAGTTGTCGGGTAACCCGAGATCGAATTTCAGAGAGTGTAGTGACCTTAAAGAGATGGTTCTTGTTCTCATCATCATTAGAACTCTACAGAGTCTCTCCACTGTATCAGCCTCGTGGCTTTGATGAATGATCTCTTCCTGTGAGTCAAGCATAAGTGCAGTGTCCGTTAGCTTGAAACACGGTAAGCTTGCGTAACGAGCATGCGGAAATTCGTGAAACAGAGTCGGATACCTGCAAAAAGTGTCAGACTTTCATCAGCACTCTCACGAGTTTTCTATCAATTCCGTCAAAATTCCAATTTTCTACAGCAACAACTTAAAGCCAGAAGATATTGAAGGAGAAGCTTATTGATACCTGCGCAAGAAGCGGAGAACAGGGACGGTGAGTCCGAGGAGTTTTTGCCAATCCGCGACGGATTTCGCAGTGAGGAAACCGGTGGGAGATCGTTTAATGGCGTCCTTGAGAATGCAAGCTGCTTTGAGATCGGTCTCAGTATCAATGACGTGATCCAGGTTCTTGTTCTTCACCCATTTCAATCTCACCTTTGTCATTCCACCCATTCCTCGCCATTGTTGATGCTGGTGAAACAGCTTACTCACTGAAAAGAGAAAGTTTTGGGATTTGACGAACATCTAAAGAGTTCTACAGAAAGTTTCGACTATCAAGTAACGCTTGCAGTTTCCACGATCTGATGAAATTGCGAGACCTGGATGATCTGCAATAGAAATTGCAAAATGGGTTTAGGGTTTAATGTTCTCTCGGAGTTTACATATGTTTTTGGAAGGGTAGAGATATGCGGGGAAGAGTAATTCAGACAAGGTGCTCGACGGAATTCCCGAACGAATCTCAAAGCGAGATTTTTCGACTTCTACTCTAAGGCCCACATGCTACAGTAAAGGTCTAAACCCTTTCAAAATAGCTTCACGATATGTTTTTACGGACAGAACCTAAAAGTTCCAACTTTTGTCGGTAAAACCATATTCGCAGAAACAAGTTTTAGCTCGTCGAGTCTCGCAGAGCTTGTACCGAGAATCATGGAAGCGAAGAAAGTGACAGAAGAGGAAGAAGAGACATGGAGGAGAGAGATAGTAACAAGCGTGATGAGAATAGTGAGCACGAGATTGCCTCAGAGAGATCTAATTTCACTCCTTCTCGTTAGCCCTTGGCTCTATCGCACCCTCGTCTCCTACCCTTCCATCTGGCTGGTAAACAAAGCTTGATTGCTTCTTAAGGTCTTTTCAAGTTTTCAAATTTTTGTTTTCAAATATTAATCTGATACCAGTTTTGATTGCTCTCTTTCAGAACATCGATTTGCGCGAGATGACCAATGCAGGGGATCGGCTTTTAGCTGCTATGTCCTTGGTTAGTGAAAACTGAAACTTTGATACTTAATTGTGCTGGAATTCTTGGGATTGATATCTTGTTGTTTGAGCTGAAGTGACTCACCGTGCTTTCAATTTTGTAGCCAAGATATCGTCAAGTGAAGCATATCAATCTTGAATTTGCCCAGGGTATTGAGGATAGTCATCTTAAACTTGTGAAAAGCAGGGTAAATTTTTTGCACTTTCCTACCAGTTAATACATGTGAATTTATATGTTTTCCAGATATTCAAGTTCATGAATGTTTGACCATGTGGTTCTTTCTAACCGGACAATATTGTATTGGTTTCTGTATGAACATTTCAGTGCCTGGATGCTCTTTTAAGTTTAGAATGCTTAAATCTGAATGGGTGCCAAAAGATATCGGACAGCGGAGTCGAAGCTATAACTAGCATATGCCCGAAACTAAAAGTTTTCTCTATCTACTGGAACGTGAGGTGATACTCTATCTGACTCATTTGTGTCATACTTCTTGATTTTCATCTTCTCAGAAAAGCGTAATTCTTGGTTTTATTACCCAGGGTGACTGATGCTGGCATTAGACATCTAGTGAAGAATTGCAGACATATCAATGATTTGAACCTAAGTGGCTGCAAGGTATCTTAATCTATATTCTTGGAGGTTTATGGCTAGCTATAGTTACGGCAATTTTTTACACACATGGACACCCCTTTCTCTTATTTATTCTCTGTTTGTATTGGATGGGGAATTTGATTTGGATGTGCACCAATTGATGCAGAGCCTAACCGACAAAAGTATGCAGCTAGTAGCTGAAAATTATCAAGGCTTAGAGTCACTGAATATCACTAGGTAATTTAAATATGTTAAAAGTATTACCTCTCAATAAATACCTATCCCTGTGGTTATTTGATAATAGTGGATAATCCGTAATATTGTTGGATAATGTCATTCGTCATTTTCAATTGGTTATAAAGATGACAGTATGGTTTCTAATGCTAGATTGTTATTTGAATACTTCTGGTGGTTGGTCTTGTTGTTTATGATGTCGCCAGGTGTGTTAAGATCTCAGATGATGGATTACTACAAGTGCTACACAAGTGTTCCTCACTCCAGACCTTAAATCTCTATGCTCTTTCAGGGTATGTAAGAAGCATAATTTTGTCTCTGACTATATTGAAAATATAGTTGTTCCAAATTCTGGAACTGATATGCAACACTTGCAGCTTCACAGACAAAGCCTACCGGAAGATATCACTTTTGGCTGATCTAAGGTTCTTAGACCTATGTGGTGCTCAGGTACTAGTTGGTGAATCCCAATCTCTTACTGGCTTTTAGAATATAACTAAGCATTCGATTGCTACCAATTCTTAGCACATATTAAATACACTAGTATGATTTCTTATCTTCGATATAATCTGTAACTAAGCTTGCCACTTTGGTTGTCAGAATTTATCTGATGAGGGGCTTGCTGATATAGCTAAGTGCAGCAAGCTAGAGTCCCTCAACTTGACATGGTAAGCTAAGTCTCCTCGTACAAGAAAGATGATGAGCGAAAAGCTGCGTCTTCATTCAAAATACCTTAACGCAAATGATTCTTAAACATGGCAGGTGTGTGCGTATCACAGATGTAGGTGTGATTACCATTGCTAATAGTTGTACCTCCCTCGAATTTCTCAGGTACTAAATCCAATCCTCGAACTATATTTGCTTCTTTTTCTTTATGCTTCTTTTTGCTGACACCATCCAATTAAAAAAAAAAAATGCAGCTTATTTGGAATAGTTGGGGTGACTGATAGATGTCTGGAGACCCTCTCGCAGACCTGCTCTGCTACACTCACCACTCTTGATGTCAATGGCTGCATCGGCATTAAGGTGTGTACTATGATGATTTTCATTTTTTTTTTCCATCCTATCAAATATACAGTTTTTACTTTGTGGAGATGCTCGAGACTAACACTTTCTCTTTACATAATGTTAACCGCATGATTTAATTATGCAGCGACGAAACCGTGAAATATTGCTTCAGATGTTCCCTCGTCTGACATGCTTCAAAGTACACAGCTAATTTGCTCATAACTCCAGGACTCTCAACAAATCTAGCCCCTTACTAAAGGTTAGTGGCTCCATATGAGGATTCTCCGCAGTTATGTAACTTATAGTCACATAGTATTTTAATCAGATGCTAAGTGTTCTCCATATGTTTTATTAACAAGCCATGGTACATTACAGCTGATAGATATGACTCGTATAGCGGTTTTGGTTGTATTTATCAACTTGCATAACAAATGATTACACTAAGTACCATACTGAAAAAGCTCCAGCCATCACCAAACCAAACTGCTTCTTATCTCTTCCTTTGACGCTTAAACCTGTGGAGGCTGCTGCAATAATTTTGTTTGTATGTTATTTTTTGCTTCTAGTTCTAAGAAACGAGATGAAAAACGTTTGCACGAGTAGAATTGAAACTGTAAAAAGAGTTGTATTAGTACCTCTAGGTCCAACATTCTGAGAGGATTCAGTAAATTGCTTAAAAATCTGAGCGGCTAGTGAATCTGGAGGCAAATGTAGAAGCTCTTCTTGCAACAAAATGAAATAATGAGAAAGATATAATCTTGTGACTATGCAAACCTGCTAATTCATCTTCTATATTGCCAGAAAAAACTGTAGAAGAGATTTGGGTATGAAATTTATCACCTGGGCATTGTGAGATATTTGTAGGGACATGACAAGTGGAAGGGAGACTCATTGCACGATTGGCTTCAACTTTGAACCCTAAACCAGGATCATCCCTGTCTTTGACAAGAGTACAAAGACATCTCTTGGTCTGCCCTTTGTCTAATATTTCCTTGAGTGTGGTGCAACATGTTGAGTCTGGAGCTTTAGCTTTGCTAGTGACAAAAGGAAGACACGAGTAGAGATCAGACAAGGAATCCTGACATCCCTTTATGTCCTGATTCAGTTCTGATCTCACACCAAGAAACATTATTGCTACTGTTATGCATAGAGCGAGCATTTGTCGATTTTGATTGTGACCCATGAATCTAACCACCAGTTTATGCAACAAAGAACTCAATATGCCTTTTTATAAACTTACCACAAACTTGTTTGTTGTTCACCAAGGTTTCCTTCAACTTGGATAACCAGAATTCTAATTCAGCAAGAAACTTGATTAAAATGTTTAAAATCATGACTACTAGTTGACATGTCTCATATCTGAATTGAAATTTGAGTTTTGTTACATATAAATATATATAAGTTGTTCACAGTTCGTTTTCACAATCTCTGCAAGAAATCCACAAGGAAAGAGTCTAGAACATTGATAGCTAAATCACAGGATTTGGATTTGTGTATAGAGCCATTTAAAAATGAGTTATAGAGAGAATATAATACTCAAGTGAAGTGACTGTAAACTCAAGCCACTATTTTCTTGAAGAAATTAAAGTTTACATTGTTACAATGACACGCCATGGAAGATAAAATCTACGGGCGAAGAGGAACAATTATAAGAAGAAAAAACATCCATCGGGACCAGTCTTTTAAGTACCAGTTACAGCTATGGAATCTCCATAAAATATTTGCTTTTCATCTGTGAGTTGCAGCATCAGCGTCTGGTCTTTGGCATGCAGCGGAATTCAGCCAAAAGTGCAATGTGATCAGAAGACCATTCTGGAGATGGAAGGGCCGTGTCCTTCCTCAAGCTCTCTTCATCCAGCAGTTCCAATAACGACTCCACTGCTAGCGTATCCGCTGAAACCAAAAAAAAAGGGGGAAATGTTTACAAGATAAAAAGAAATCTGAGTTGCAAATTTGCAGGGATTGGCTACGAACCAGTGTAAAATATGTAATCAAGTGTGCCTATAAAGTCCCTGGTACAGTTGGTAAACAACGGTTCATTTGACGCAGGATCCATTCTTCTCCTTTGCTGCTCAGCAGTAAGGCTACCTCCCATTCTTGCAAAGGATGAGTAAGCACTAACCTGCATTGCTCACAAGGTAAGATGATTATGCATACGCTGCAATTTGCTACACACAAAAGTATGTCTTTCATGATTCTTTGGGAAAGATAACCTACCAGTGGCAGCTGGTGAGTTAGCTTGGTGTGAGGCCGCAAAATTCCAAGAGGATCAACCATCAAATCTGGGTGCATTGGATCGACCTTCCCCATAGCAAGAAGTGAATGAGGAGCACTGAAAATAGTTGGAAAGAACTCTAAGTTAAAACGACTAGAGACCAGAATCAAAATCTGATCTAAGTTTTGACATTTTTTGCAATTTTGGCATAACACCTTGCTGGTACTGTATTGAAATCTCCACACACAAGCATTGGAATATCTGCACTGGCAGCTATTTTCTCCAGCCCCTTCAATAATGTGTGAACCTGTTTTGAGGAAGAATAAAATATGGATTATTAGTAATGATATTAGAATCCGAAATCTGCAAGTTTTTCGCAATCAGAAATAACGATCAACCTGCCAGAGCTTGACATCCTTCAGTTCATGAGGAACGTTTACATGCGTGTTAGCCTGCATTCAACAAATAATTAAAGAGCGAAAAATGATCAGCCCGAGACCTTTAAGGCATAAGAGAAGGTGGAAAAACAAAAATTTATCTTTAGAGCCATCTCTTGCCAAAAAAGAACAATATTAAAAAGATGGAAACTCACCACACAAAGTAGCTGGCGCTTCCCAGGAATGTCAGAAGCCTGATTACCGAATTTTGCTTCCAGGACAACTATTAATGCAACATTGTCCTAAAAAGAAAGAAACTAAGTCAGTTTTACATGGAAATTAAACAAGAAGCATTTTTGGAAACAAGAATCGCAGAGTAGAGCATCTTTGAATATACCTTAACCAATCGATTCAAAGCAATTTTCTTCTGGGCAACAGGAATCAGAGCCTCAGTCAAAGATTGGGCAGCCTTATTGAACTCAACCTGGAAGACCAGCTTGATGATTTAGCAAGAGGAACTAAACAGAGACAGGTAATAAAGAGGAAAACTATGAACTACCTCGTATTTTTTAACATGAGAAAACCTGTCTCTTCTGAAAAAAGTAGCACATCCATCAATCGCGTTTGTATTACCGACAAAAACCTAAGATTATCGAGTGAATAAAAATGTTCTGGTCAGCACATTTTGCCATAGAAGTGGCCAGTAAAAGGTTATGAGGGATCAAGGGGAGGCGCCTATACAAACCTCATTTGTTTTCCGTTTAAAAAGAGCTTGGTATCCATGCTTATCCAGCTCAGGAGCGAAAAACTCATCAAAATGATCATTTTGTACCTGCAAGATGAAAAAAAAGGAAAATATTTATTTCTCTCTAATAATTAAACCAGAAGCAATTGCATCGTTTTCCAAATCAGTACAACCTCGGCAGATTATTATAACATACCTCCTGTAGACATACTACATCTGCATGGTACTTAACAATTTCCCGTAATAAATTCTGTCTACGGTATGTCCATGAAAGAGCCCATGTGGGGCAATAATTGTATATATCGCTACTAGCATACGCATCAGCCAATATATTATAGGAGAGCACAGTGAATGATCCCATAGAAAAAGGTCGGCCATTGGAATCTAGGTGCCCGACAACATCAGCTCCACTAACAGGGATCAGCCGACGCGGAGAAGGTGATGGAGCTGGAATAACACGGGAAGTCAATATGGTACAAGAAAGGCCCACATTCTGTTTTGTCTCGGCATTGACAACTACACACTCAAACTTCAAAACATGGCCAACATCATCGGCCATTGGTGTGTATGTCTTGGAGCGTCCAACCTCAACAAGTGTTTCCCCTCCTGAGCCAGTCTTTTGAGTTATGGCTGGGGGATAAATTGACGATGATCCATTTGTTAAACTACCACTGGTGCTGAGAAGGCCAGAGCCTGAGCCTGTACTATTTAAACGTAGCAACTCTTCTTCATCGTTTCCTTCAGCAGCAGCACTGGCTGCACGCTCGTGCAAGACACGGTGATGCTGCCACGCATCTGTAAAGCACTTTGTTGAGCAGTGGTAGCTTTTGTTGACAGGAACCTTTGACTTTAGACAGCCTAGACATTGCAATGTGGCTGCCTCGGATGGATGCACACTACAAATCGCTACTTTCTTATCGCTCTGTACCCGATACCTGCAAATTGAAAATCCAGAGGATGCAACTCAATTACAGAATCAAACAAAAATAGACTGAAGACTTATCAATCCCGCTTTTTAAGGAAATGAATCATCTCTCACGCTCAATTTGCCCAAAATAGAAACTGAGCAAAGACTTGAGTGAGACAAAGACATTGGCACAACTTACCATCTGTATTTTAAGAAGTGACCTTCAAGCGGGGCTGACTCAGGCACATCATCGGTGGTGGCGGTCTTATCCGGCCGCCGGAGAAGCACGTAAGGCGTAAGTTCGCAGCCAACAATAGGTATCTCCGACGGTAGATGCACCCGTATAACGCTAAGCATTGCTTTTCCGTAACTAACTGTAATACTCAAAGGAATTCAACACTAACAAATCCCAAAGGTTGAGACTTTTAGCTGTGTATTGAAGCAGGAGAGCAAAAGAGATATAGCGGATCCCTAGTGGATCCGCCATTTACTTGAGACCTTAAAACCCACCAGCATTTGATGAACCCTAATAATCTCCGAACCCTAGATTACGCCCAATTTTTGCCAACAGAAAACTTCTCAAAACCCAAAATTACGACCTAGAAATTAATAAATCGAAGAGTGGGATCGATTGTTTTGTTACGAGAAAAACAAAGCAGAAAAAAAAGGTATAATTTCGGACGAACCAATACGGTGTATTTTTTTAATTTTCAAAAGGTTACGAAAAGCTGAAGACTACAGTTTTTTTTTTTATACACACACATTTACAAAGAGCTATCATCATGTCTGATATATATCATTTGTTTACGACTTGTATTTCAAAAATGCTTAAATAAAATAAAATTTATCTACTACAGTTTGTTTTTTTTTGAAAATTTTAAATAATTTTTTATTTGGAATAGTTTTTTTCTTTTATTTTCATTGCAACAAAATTATGATATTTTAAGTTCAAATCTGTGAGAGATTTGATTATTAATTTATTAGATACTTTTAAATGAAAATGATAGCACAGACTCTTTTCAATGAAAATTATAAAATTAAATTTATTTTCAGCATAATAGACTCATCAGTGACATTTGTTAAAAATAAGTTGGTAATACTTTTTTGGCAATTAATTTCTAAATTTGTCAGTAATTACTTTTGTCCAGACCACAATAAATATTCGTCTCTATCCAATCCTTGCTCGTCGTTTTCATCACGCGCTATGATAAATTATTACCGACACACAGTTCACTTCATTGTAGCCACGCCGTCACGCTTTTCGTTACTAGAAAACGGCAAACAATCTGAAATAAATAAAAAACGAGGAAGCTTGGAAATAATAAAAGTTCATCGAAATACAAATATCTCTTCATCTTTCTCTTTTGCTCATTTCCCAGAAACCTTGTTTCATTGCTTCGTGTACGATCGCGAGAAGAAGGGAAAATTAGGGTTTATATTCTGGAGACTTTCCGTACACCATCGATCCTTGATCTCGTTTTTGTTTCTATTCGAGTTTCTGAAGGTCTGGCTTTGTCTCTCTGTGCATGGTTTTGTTCCGTCTATGCAGCGATGTCCTGTTCGATTTCTCTTTGCTTCTAGGGTTTAGTGATTTGTGCATTTTTTGGTTGTAGGAAAGGATTGTTCTCAGCTTTGTGTTAGTTCGTCGTGATTGTGTGTTGTTACGACCTTTTATTGTTTTGATTATCGTCTTATTCGATTAGCTGAGGTTTTTCTCGATTGTTCTAGAGACAGCTTCTCTCCAATCGATCCGCATTTGCCTATTTTCGGTTCTTGGATTTGATGACTTTTATTTCCTACATGCACAGCTGCAACTTATTTCTGGAAAACGAACTTGTTCTAACTGAAATTTCTTACGATCTCCAGGGCTTTGATCTACTCAAAATCGAAGACTAAGAAATTGGAGTCTTCTGGTAAAACCAAAATCAGCTGATTCTTTCTGAGTTGTTGTAATTTGCAAGTATGAGTTCATCATGGGCTGATGTTTCTGAATCGGAGAGGGCACCATCTGGTTGGGGTTACGGGAACTCTCGTCCGTCGCGAACCAACTACGTTCCTCCACATCTTAGGAGCCGTACGCCATCTTCGGATTTTGCTGCTCCTTCACCTGGTAATGATCGTGTGGGATATGGTGGTGCACATAGTGGTTATGGTGGTCGGGGCCAAGGCTATGGTGGTCGAGGCTCAGGCTATGCCGGTAGAGGAGGAGGAGGTGGTGGTGGCGGTTGGAATAACAGAGGTTGGGACCGTCGGGATACTGAAACCAATCCGTTTGGTAATGATGTGAATGCAGACCCGGCTACTAACGAGCAGGAAAACACAGTCATTAACTTTGAGGCGTATGAAGATATTCCCATCGAGACAAGTGGGGATAATGTGCCACCCCCTGTTAATACATTTGCAGAGATAGACCTTGGAGAGGCGCTGAATCTAAATATTCAGAGGTGCAAATACGTGAAGCCGACCCCTGTGCAGCGTAATGCAATTCCCATACTGGCTGCTGGGAGGGATTTGATGGCTTGTGCTCAGACAGGGTCTGGGAAGACAGCTGCTTTCTGTTTTCCGATTATTAGTGGGATTATGAAGGAGCAGCATGGAGAGAGACCACGTGGAGTACGGGGGGTCTATCCTCTTGCTGTCATTCTCTCACCAACAAGGGAGCTGGCATGCCAGGTCTGAATCACTGGTCTACTATCAAAGTCTATGTGCATTCGTAGATCACTCGAAGATCTCATGAAAAAAGTTGTGTCTATTTTATGATTTTGTTGGCAGATACACGATGAAGCCAGAAAATTCTCCTATCAAACTGGTGTGAAAGTTGTGGTTGCTTATGGAGGAACACCAGTCAACCAACAGGTTTTCCTTTACTGTTTGATCACTGCTTCATTTTTTCACCTCTCATACACTGTGTGTGCGGGGGAGAAAGAGAAAGTGTGCTTTTCCAGGCTGTTATTATACTAGAGTTTTCTAGTGCGCCTTGTTAAATTTTGCTTTGATAGCTGTTTTAGCTCTTAGTTTTGTTGTTGACATGCCTAGCTGTTCTTTGCTCTGTAGTTTGCCAGAAATCCTCCTGTATACGTGGGTGTATAATAGTTATCCTTCAAATGAAAACTGCAGGAGTCGGCTACATCATGACAGATAATATGGTCCCTTTTAATCTGTTCTTGTTTTGTTGTTTTACAGATTAGGGAGCTTGAAAGAGGAGTTGACATTCTTGTTGCAACTCCAGGAAGATTAAATGATTTGCTTGAGAGAGGTAGAGTCTCACTACAGATGGTAAAATACTTAGCACTTGATGAGGCGGACAGGATGCTGGACATGGGTTTTGAACCACAAATCAGGAAGATCGTTCAGCAGATGGACATGCCTCCTCCTGGTGTCCGGCAGACAATGTTGTTCAGTGCTACATTTCCTAGAGAGATACAGGTTTGTGGAACTCACTCAAATGCCATTTTCCATGTTTTATCCTTACCGGTAAAGAGATTCAGCTGGCTCCTCCTTCGATCTCTCGTTCTCTGTTAGTGTCTTCATTGTTAGTACACTGCTTTATCTGGCACTTTGGGTATCTAGTACACTTGTACTGAGAATAACTGTTCTTTTTTTTTTACTTGGAGAATACTGACTGGACCACTTATTCTTGTAAATGATTTGATATTTGAATATTGGAATGAGGAAATAGCGTTTCTTATATTAGTGATATGAAAGACCAAGGTAGAGATGCAATTTCCAATAAAAATTAATATACTTGTGAGGAAGAGAGAGCTAAGGGTTGCTGCTTGCTTTATTTCCGTGACTACTGCTACTGCAATATTACTGTAGAAAAAAGTAAGATTTGGTAGGTCCGGGAAATGATAAGGATGGTCAGTAGAGAATCTTGCTTGGAAGGTTCACTTTGTTGTCTTAATTATTTTTGTTTTTACTTGATACTTCCAAAAGTTTGTCTCTTAAAATCACACGATAGAAGTTACCTACTATGCAGGAAATGGATTTATTTCCATGCCACATGCACTAATTTTTATTTTATTTTTATGTGCAGAGACTTGCATCTGATTTTCTTTCAAATTACATATTTCTGGCTGTTGGAAGAGTGGGTTCAAGTACGGATTTAATTGTCCAAAGGGTAGAGTTTGTCCACGATTCTGACAAAAGAAGCCATCTAATGGACCTTCTTCATGCCCAGAGGGAGAATGGTAACCAAGGAAAGGTAATGCAAACTAATATGATTGGTTTCTTAATAATAGTGAACAGAGTCAATACTAGTGCTCCTTTCGGTTTTGTTCATTGTCTCGTTGTTCTATATAATTAATCGCAGTTCAAGAGAACCTTGATGATCTTTCCATTCTATTTTACAGCAAGCTTTGACTCTAGTATTTGTGGAGACCAAGAAGGGAGCTGACTCTTTGGAGAATTGGTTGTGCATCAATGGATTCCCAGCAACGACCATCCATGGTGATAGGTCACAACAGGTTAGCGAGTTGTTGATATATATATATATATTAAAAAAAAGAGGAAATCGTAGAGTATATAGAATATAGTTCAGTGCAACCAAACCTAAAACCATATTTTGTTGGTTATGCATACAAGGAAAGAGAAGTGGCACTGAGATCATTCAAGACTGGGCGGACACCTATTTTGGTTGCAACCGACGTTGCTGCACGTGGGCTTGACATACCACATGTGGCTCATGTTGTTAACTTTGATCTACCAAACGACATCGATGACTATGTCCACCGTATCGGACGAACAGGACGTGCAGGCAATTCAGGACTAGCAACTGCTTTCTTCAACGACAACAACACATCAATGGCCAAGCCACTCGCTGAGCTAATGCAAGAAGCTAACCAGGAGGTCCCTGACTGGTTGACTCGGTACGCATCTCGTGCTTCTTTTGGAGGTGGTAAAAACCGACGGTCTGGTGGACGGTTCGGTGGGCGTGACTTCAGGAGAGAATCGTATGGCCGAGGCGGTGGTGGTGGTGACTACTATGGTGGTGGTGGTGGGTATGGAGCTGTTCCTGGTGGTGGCTATGGAGCAATGCCTGGTGGGTATGGAACCGTACCAGGTGGTGGATATGGAACGGTTCCTGGTGGTGGTTATGCACCTTACGGTAGAGGCGGTGGTGCTTACTATGGTGGAGGATATGGAACCGTTCCTAGCCAAGGGTATGGCCCTGGAGTGGCTAGTGCGTGGGACTAAGCTATTTACTTCAATTCTTCAAGAACCAATTATGGTCTCTCTTACTTATCTCTACTGTTTACTAATAGAGAGCATCGATGTGTATGGTTGCTCTTTAAATGGTTATTATGTAGACAGGAGTCTTCACTTGTTTCACTGTGAAAGAAGAAAAAAAAATCTACTATTTATTTTAACGAGTTGCTCTAGTCTTACAAAGCATCTATAACAAGCAACAATAGTTTGATCTAAAGACATACTTTTATTAAAAATGGTAGGATAACAAAAAAAAAGCAACAAGTGTTTTTCTAAGATTTAAGGATCAAAATGAGAAGAAAAGAGGTTAGACAAAAGCCACACAGAAGGTCATCATAAAGAATGACCCGACTTCAGAAAGTGATCTGCCTTAACTTTGGATCAGAACCACTTCCGACCTGTGCGTCATCTCTATCACAGATTTTGGTAGAGGTTTGGTTTTGTCTAAAGAGTTGCTGTCATAATCTGATGATTAAAAACCGGAAAACAAAAAAAAAAAAAAAAAAAAAAAAAAAACCTATCTGTAAGCGATTGCGAAGATGAAAAGGTGGTGAAGGCGGTTAGCGTCTGGTCCTAGGCTTGCATCGAAATTCAGCTAAGAGTGCAATGTGATTAGAAGACCATTCCGGGGAAGGAAGAGCTGTATCCTTTCTCAATCCATCTTCATCCAGCAATTCCAATAATGATTCCACCATTAACGTATCCGCTAAAACCAACCAAAAAAAAAAAACAAAAAATATCATCTTCCCGCTTAGTTAACTTGTTATTTTCTGATGTAGTCGAAGAAGGACAGTGAGTTAAAAAATGGTGAAACCTGTGTAAAATATGTAGTCATGAGTGCCAATGAAGTCCCTTGTGCAATTGGTAAACAAAGGCTCGTTTGTGTTAAGATCCATTCTTCTTCTGTGTTGTTCCAATCCAAGAACGATTCCCATTCTCACAAACGACGAGTATGCGCTCACCTGAAACAACAAATCCTCTTATCAAAGATCCAGACGAGAGGCAAACAAAGGGCAAATCAAAATGTTACCAGAGGCAATTGATGAGTCAATTTGGTATGAGGACGCAGGATTCCAAGGGGATCAACCAACAGATCTGGGTGCATTGCATCCACCTTTCCCATTACAAGAAGTGAATGAGGGGCACTGTAATAAAAATTCCAAAGGCGGAGATTTAGCTTTCTACATCAAGAATCAATCATTAAGAGAATACTGAATTTGATATATATCAGGTAGTAGGAAGTAACAAAACCTCCCGGGAAGCGTATTGAAGTCTCCACACACAAGCATAGGAATATCGGCACTAGCAGCTATTTTCTCCAGCCCCTTTAATAAGGTATGAACCTAAACTCAAAAGAATAAAACAAATACGGAGGTGAACACTAAATCTCTTGAGTTCAATGAAAATTGAGTTCTTTAGAAGAGAGAGATACACATACTTGCCAGAGCTTCACGTCCTTGAGTTCTTGTTGAACATTAACATGCGTGTTAGCCTAACAAGTTACAGCAACAAAATGAGAAAATTAGCCGGCTTTCACACAAAATAACCGATTTCACGAAAACACACTTCTTGACAAACAATTGAATGGGAAGAAAAAGGAAATTCTACCACACAAACAAGCTGGCGCTTTCCAGAAGGATCAGCAGGTTGATTACCAAACTTTGCTTCAAGAACAACTATCAGGGCAATGTTATCCTACGCCATAACAATCACCGGAATTAGCGATGTAAACAATAACTCTCTAAGAATCGGCTGTGACCATTACAAATGTATAGAATGTCAAAAATACCTTAACTAGTCGGTTTAAAGCAGTTCTCTTCTGCGCAGGAGGGATTAGAGCCTCAGTCAAAGACTGAGCAGCCTTATTGAATTCAACCTGGATTAACAGTCCTATGAATTAGTATGAGGATCTAAATAGGTAGAGCGCATAAACATATAGCACAGATACAAACATCATATTTCTTGACGTGTGTAAATCTATCCCGTCGGAAAAATGTTGCACACCCGTCAATCGCACTTGTACTTCCGCTGAGAACCTAGCAACAAGTAACTTATGGTTAAGAGACTTTCTAACATAAAACCATTAAAGGAAGGAGTGTGTGGAATCAATGACCAAACCTCATTAGTTTTCCTCTTGTAGAGAGCTTGATATCCATGCTTATCCAACTCAGGAGCAAAAATTTCATGGAAATGATCACTTTGTACCTGCCAGATAGAGAAAGAGTGATGAATATTTATTTCGTTTATACTGCTTAAACTGATAATTTGAAACGAAACATTAACAAGGCCTGGAAAAAAAAACATACCTCCTGAAGGCAAACTACATCAGCACGATAACCAACAATCTCCCTTAATAAATTCTGTCTGCGGTATGGCCAAGAAAGAGCCCAAGGAGGGCAGTAACTGTAAAGGTCACTACTTGCAGAAGTATCAGACAAAATATTATAGGAAAGAACAGTGAATGATCCTGCAGACTGAATCCGACCATCATGATCTAAGTGACCCATCACATCAGCTCCATTGACAGGGATAAGCTTACGGGGACTTGGAGAAGGAGCAGGAATAACACGTGAAGTCAAAATGGTACTAGGGTGTCCCACAAACTGTTTCGTCTCTGCGTTAGCCACAACACACTCGAACTTCAAAACATAGCCAATATCATCAGCTGTTGGCGTGTAAGTTTTGCAACACCCGACCTCGATTAGCGTCTCTCCTCCATTTTTCTGCGTGACATTAGAAGGATAAAACGGCGTTGGGCCATTGTTGGTAAGATTGAGATTTGACATAGACCCGGACAAGCTACCGGCAAGAACACCAGAGCCAGTGCTGTTGAACCGGACTAACTCATCTTCCTCGTTTCCGTTCTCGGCGGCTGCTCGCTCGTGCAAAGTCCTGTGATGCTGCCACGCATCTGTAAAGCATTTTGGAGAACAGTGGTAGCTTTTTGCAACAAGGGCTCTACGCTTTGAACAGAATACGCATTGCAAGGTGGCTTGTTCCGTTGGATGCACACTGCAAATCGTTACTTTCTTATCGCTCTGTACACGATACCTACCAAACAAAAAGTAGAAATCAAAAGAATGAATCTAAAACAAGATCAGAAGTAGAAAAGCATAGTATTTTCTTAAATTCCCCCTTTCCTACAATCGCCAAACCAATTATCAAAACCTTTGACGACCTGAATCAGAATATCGAAATCAGAAATCTCTGAAATCAGATCAAGTTTCAAACTTTGATTAAACCCCAATCAGCCAGAGGATCCAAGAAGAAGTAAAGGGCCAATCCACGAAGACAGAGACAGATCAGGAATCAGGAGGAACCTTACCATCTGTATCTCAAAAAGTAACCTTCGAGAGGAGCCGATTCAGGCACATCGTCAGTGGCGGCGGTCTTGTCCGGACGGCGAACAAGCACGTAAGGCGTTAATTCACAGCCTACAATGGGAATTTCGGAAGGTAGATGCACTCGGATCACGCTCAGCATTTCTTTCCTGACACAACTGGTGATTGTCGAAGCACTCTAACACTATCGAAGCACAGAATCGAACGCACAGCTTGATTACCGATATATTCTCGTAGATATACAAATGAAATAGAATCGACCGTAGGCTGATCCACCATTTACTTTCTCCACCTAAAGACCAGAGCTTTCCTCAAAAACTACCCGAAACCCTAAAATATTGTCTCCCCAAATTTTAGTAACCAACTTGGATCCAAATTGAAAGAGAAAAAAGAAAATCACGAAAGATTTTTGAGAAGATGGAAAACTTCCAGGATCGATTCTTACGCTGGGAAGGATGGAAAAAATCAAAGATTTTGTTTTTATTTTTTATTTTCTAATTTTTTTTTCTTTTGTTGAGAGTGGAATCAATAGCAAAGAAAATGAAAAAATATGAAGTTTTAGGCTTTAGACCAGACACCCAAAGAAAATGAATAATTTCCTTGGAATTTTATTGATGGCATTTTTGTAAACTACACCTACAAAAAAATCGGTTTTGGCGCTGAAAGATTGAAAGTTTTGGTTGTTTTTAACTATCACAAGTTCACAACAAATCAATTTGCGGAAAAGAGAGAATCTACAACTAAATTATTTATTAACCAAGGTAAAGCCTTAAGAAATCAAAACCATAAGCCTTTGGTTAAAAAAATAATAATAATAATCAAAACCGGGAAGAGGAGTCAATGGACAAGATTGTTCAACATTCCATATAAGGTGGGGTGCAATTTTGCTCGTAGAGATCAAGAGTCATTGATCCTGTAAGATTAAAAAATTAAGACGGTCGATAATAATTATTGTTTCATGAGAAAAAAGTATATTGATGTGGTAGGGAAAGGTTGAAGACTGCAAAATTATTTCGTTCGGTGTTTATATATCTTTTAACTAAAATGAATACCGTTGTGATGTCTTTCCAAATATTTTTGAATATTCAAGTCATAACTAAAATCACGCAAATTGTTGAAGATCGAGGGGAGAAAAAAGGGTTTGAGTCAGTTATAAATTAAGTGTAGTGTGATTGCTGTCTCATGACTGTGTCTGAATAGTCGGAAATCATAAAAATGTAAGACATGTACCTTAGAAAAGAAATAGCGAGTTTGAAGTGTGAAATGATGTAATACTTGCAGGATATATAGGCATAAATATATGTATACAAGACCTTTTCATCGTGCGGAAAGGAGTTGTATATATTTACAATGTCTATCTTATCTGAATTCGTGTATCTGATTGCCAGAGTTTTAAGTCAGGTATTTCATTTCATGTGGGAAGTGAAACATATGATCTGTAAGATTTAGCAGTTATATATCTCTGACATAGTTGACTAGCTAGTTTAACCTCGTGTCTCTACTCTCTAAGGTAAGCATGTCTACTAGGTTCCAAGGGTGATGGCAAATATTTCTTGTCGTATTGTATGGTTACGTATAATACGGTGTAAGGTGTGTTCAGTTAATTTCTAATGAAATGCTACTTGAATTGAGACCTAGAGCGATGCCTCTTGCTTCCTTCCTTTGAGGATGTAACCTTCTGTCTCCGGGTGAGGCAAAACCTTCATATAAAGTCATAAAACCAAAACCGGAGCCTCTAGCTCTGGTGGTAAAGGACCCTCAGCTGAGGTATCCGCCATCACGAATTCGAGCCCCAGCCATTACAAAATTTATATATGGGCTGCAGCGTTCCAGGAGCCGACACATGGAGTGTCATTTGGCCGCTCACGTGGCTAGCCTGGACCCACTTCGGTGAGGGCCAGGACACCTGAGTTATAAAAAAAAAAAAAAAATCATAAAACCAATGTGAAGAAGTTTTTCTGAAGATGATGATCCTTCATCTCCACCTATAAGCATTTTAGTCATTGTCATTGATAAATGAAAAAAGGTCCGTTGAGCTACAACGGGCCGGTCAAACGACCCATTTACTGGTAGGAGTCGGACTCCCAAAATGAGAAACGACGGCCACATTCTTTTTTTCAACTGACTAGAAAGCGCTTTTCTATTAAAATAAAATATTATTTCTAGCCGTTTCTTAGCTAATTCAAAACTTAGAAAAATATATTAAATAGTAACATTAATAATAATTTTTAAGTTATCATTTTAAGATATTTTCCATAAATACAGTCAATACTATAATTGAGAATACTACGAAATACAAGTACTTGACTACTTGGCCTATGTGCAAAAACATGGGTACAACTTTTGGTCATCGGTTTGGTTTGAAATGGTATTTTAGTTCGGGTTGTGAAGATTTTAATTGAATATAGTCACATTTGGTTTGAGTACGTTCAGTTTTGATCCGGTTTGCTCAATTTTAAACGTAAATTTTATTCGTTTTGATTTCGTTAGTTTGCGGATCTATAATGGTTTAATTCGGTTCAACTCTGCTCGTTTCGGTTTGAATACTTTTCAGACTAGTAAGCACTTTACTAAATTTTGACAACTACTAAGAAAATTATTTTTTATACTAATTAAGGAAAAAAAAAGTAATGTTGGGTTTTTCTTATTTAATATTTTGAGCCTCAAGCACTCTATATAACTAGCAAGAAAAGACAACGCTACTGTGTAACTAACATCTCCAAACCCGTCGAGAACAGAAAAAAACATTAGAATTTGATTTATGTCAACATCGATGATGATGAGTGAACGTGTAAAACTTTTCCATAGCGTTGTGGTAGCTGATGTGAGAGTGCAATATGATGGTAATTCACATTTCCTTTATCGATTAAACTTTGTTTTTTCCCTTCTCTATATATAGTGTAAATTGTTGAATAATTCTTTTGGTTGAATATTTTACCCTTTTATGTTAGTTTTGGTGGAAGCCCTCAAAAATATACAGAAATTGGAAGCTGAGCTAACAGTGGGAGAGAAGAATTGCATAAGAATGGTGCATAACAATCTAATCTGTGAGATGAAAAAGACATGGAACACTCTCAAAGCTATGAAGCTTAAGGAAAGAGTAGAAGGGAATGATAATCTGGAGATGGTTCAAGAGTATTTGCAGAAGCAATTGATTGACCTTAAAAGCACATCTGACGAGATAAAAAAATTATTGGGTATAACTGTCTAAGTTTAATTACTTTTACTGTGTTTTATCTTTCCAGAGTTTCAAAGGGTGTATTTTTTTTTATGTATTAGTTATGAAAAAGATGAGGTATCATCCAAGAAATGTGAAAGAAAGATGGAAGAGGTGTTGGACAACCCTTTTCTTATGAAAAACACTGAAAGAATGACAAATAAGTAGAATCATGATATAAAAAAGGAATTTAACATACAGTTGATTTTTCGTAAAACTAGAAGCATAGTAATGTTTTTTTTCCAATTGCCAAATTCTAAAATAAAATATTTGACATAAGTTTTCGACAAGCTTAGCTCACCATATTTCAAACATATGGAGTGAAGCCAACAACAATCCAAGTGACACAAACAAAAGATCAGAAGAGTGCAATCCTCTTTCTCTAAATCCTAGTCCAACTACAAGTAGACCACCGTGCTTGGGTTTAAAATGGGTAGTTTAGTGACAATGTTTTCAACATTTTGTATTTATTTTTATTTTCAGGTTTTCTTGATTTTATATAAATAAACTCAATTTTTAAATCATATTTTTATTTATATTAGATTTTTCTATATCAAATAATGGACAACTATGCATCTCAAATTTGGTAAATAGAAATTTAGTAATATGAAAGCAACTTTAGCTAACTTACTAGTAAAAATGGAATGTCAAATTTCTATTCTCTTCAATTTATACCATGTGATGAGTTAAAATCTATGGAGTTTAAAAATTACATGTGTTTATATTGAAAAAATTACCACATAATTTAGATCATGTATGAAATTTTTGTTTTTCAATTTACAAATAAATCTAGAATTTGGTTAAGTATGGGCGAAATTCGGATATTTTCTCTCAGATACGTCTCAACGAAGTTTGATGATGGTTTCCAATGGTATTTTGCCACCAGATAAAATTTTTTCTGTAAACTAGTTATTTTACTTTAATTTTAGTGATTTTAAATTTCAAAACAATGAGGTATTTATTGTAAAAAGATTTTTTTGGTGAATAAATTTTCCATTCTTAAAAAAATAAATAATAATAAGTATGGGCCAAATTGAATTTGTAGGAATTCAACGAGGTGTCGTGGAGATTCTTTAACTTTTAAACCAGGACCACGTTAGTCGGTTAGACCGGTCAATCCATGATCTTGTGAATAGATCAGCCGGTTAACGGTTTAAATCACGAGTCTTCGTGCTCGTGACTCGTCAGTCACTCGTAAAATCGTTTCAGATCATCGTGGTAACCTCAAATTCGACTTCTCGCGACTGAGCTGTTGTGATCGGTGCATACACTTAGCTAGATTAGTGAAACTGACACTTGAGTATTTGATATCACAACTTATTTTTTCTTCCCTTTGTATTCGCAGAACCAAAAAAATTGCTTCAAAGCCTGAGATTGAGCTCGGTTTTAAGTTTATTTATATGCATTGTGCCTAGGAAATTCTCTCTGTTTTCATTTTCCTCCTGCATGAGCCTCAGCCATGGAGATTTCGCCAATCACAACAACCGTCTACTTAGCTTGCTCAGCGTCTGCAGAAAATCTCCTTCCTTTGCAAGGACCAAAGCTCTTCACGCACTCTCCATCACTTTATGCTATACTCTTCAGCAGCCCATTTATATCTGCAACAATATCATATACCTTTATTCGGAGCTTGGCCAGGTTCCCTGTGCAGCCAAGGTGTTCGATAAAATGCCTGACAGAAACACGGCATCGTTCAACACGATCATTAGTGGGTATAGCAAATGCGGGTATGCGGAGAAAGCCTGGGGTGTATTCTCTGAGATGAGGCATTTTGGATATTCGCCGAATCAGGTAACTGTTGGTGGTTTGTTGTCATGTGCGTCGTTGGATATTCGTGCCGGAACTCAGTTGCACGGTTTGAGCTTGAAGTATGGCTTGTTTCTAGCTGATGCATTTGTCGGTACTCATTTGTTGTGTTTGTATGGGAGGCTTGAGTTATTGGAAATGGCAGAACATGTTTTTGAAGATATGCCATTCAAGAGCTTAGTAACATGGAACCATATGATGTCTTTGTTGGGGCGTCGTGGGTTTCTCAAAGAATGCATTTTTCTCTTCCGTGAGCTTGTTAGGACGGGGGTATGTTTATCTGAAGGCTCTTTCTTGGGTGTATTGTCTGGTGTATCTTGTGGAAATGACTTGGAAAATAGCAAACAATTGCATTGCTCAGCAATGAAAAAAGGGTTAGACTGTGAAATTTCCATCGTTAACTCTCTTATCAGCGCATATGGGAGATGTGGCAACACACTTATGGCTGAGAGAATGTTTGCGGAGACAAGTTCCCGGGATATAGTGTCATGGAACGCCATTATTGGTGCAACAGCCAAAAGTGAGAACCCGTTAAATGCACTCAAACTCTTTCTAAATATGCTAGAGCATGAATTTTCTCCGAACCAAGGTACATTCGTTAGTGTTCTTAGCGCCTCTTCTCATACACAGATGTTGAGTTTCGGACGCCAGATTCATGGCACATTAATCAAGAACGGCTGCGAAACTGACATATTTTTGGGGAATGCATTGACCGACTTTTATGCTAAATGTGGTAGTCTGGAAGATTGCCGGCTATGCTTTGATTCCATACGTGATAAGAACATTGTTTGTTGGAATGCACTGCTTTGGGCTTTTGCCAATAAAGATGGTCCCATTTGTCTCTCTTTGTTTCTTCAAATGCTTCAAATGGGTTTCAGGCCAACTGAATATACTCTTTCGACAGCCCTCAAATCATGTGGTGTCATAGAGTTACAACAGCTGCACTCTGTTATTTTGAGAATGGGCTATGAAGATAATGACTATGTGTTAAGCTCTCTTATGAAATCCTATGCCAAGAATCAATTGATGAGTGATGCTCTTCTTCTGCTGGATTTGTCTAGCAGGCCATCTTCTGTCGTCTCATCGAACATTGTCGCCGGAATATATAGTAGAACAGGCCAGTACCATGAATCGGTGAAGCTTATTTCGACACTAGAACAACCCGACACTGTATCTTGGAACATTGCAATTGCGGCTTGCTCTCGTTCTGATAACCACGGAGAGGTTATTGAACTTTTCAAACACATGCTTCAATCAAACATCCGCCCTGATAACTACACATACGTTAGTATCTTAAGTATGTGCTCCAAGTTCTGCGACTTTACGCTTGGAAGTTCTATTCACGGTGTAATCACCAAAACAGATTTCAACCGGGCCGACACATTTGTTTGCAACGTATTGATTGACATGTATTGGAAATGCGGAAGCATTAGGAGTGCAATCAAAGTCTTTGAAGAAACAAGAGAGAAGAACCTCATTACATGGACGGCATTGATTTCGTCTCTTGGCTTCCATGGATATGGACACGAGGCATTTGAAAAGTTTGAGGAAATGGTATCTCTGGGTTTAAAGCCAGACCGTGTCTCTTTCATCTCTATGCTAACTGCTTGCAGACATGGTGGTATGGTCAAAGAAGGAATGGAGTTGTTTCGGAAAATGAAGCATTATGGAGTTGAACCCGAAATGGATCATTATCGTTGTGCCGTTGATCTTTTGGCTAGAAACGGTTACCTGAAGGAAGCTGAGCAACTGATTTGTGGAATGCCTTTCCCTGCAGACGCCCCTGTATGGCGTACGTTTCTTGATGGTTGCAATAGATTTGCAGCAGAACAGAGTAGCACCCTCTCTGTTCAGTAGTTGTAGAATTGCAACAGGCTTCTCTTGCAATGTTCGTATTTTTGTATGGTGAATGAAAAAAAACTACAAATTTGATCTAACAAGCTCAGAGAAATAGTTTGTATTTTGCAATTGTACAAAAGGTCAGTAGCAAACAATCCAAACTTGGATCAGTCCCATTACTCATAAAACGATGTTGTGTATGGTAAAAAGATTTTACGGTTAAATCAACCCGCGGCCTGGAAATCTCCAAAGTCATCATCTGGTGCATCTTCAACGCCTATATCTTTAGCTTCTTGGTCTTCTTTCTTCTCTACTTCTTCTCGCTTTGTATCTAAATCTTGTTGTTCAGATGATCTCTGGAGGCTGACGCTTGGTGGCAGACTTGATGGGGACTTCTGAGCAGTTGTGGCAGGAGAAAGCGGTCCAGGAGGTGGAGGCGGAGGGATGATTGAAGGAATGGTTTCTAACGACTTGCCCTTATCCTCTAACGTTAGATTGCTCAGACTCTTCTCCACCATCTTCGACTTTGCGTCTTTATCGCTTCTCTGTTTTCATCGTTTTGATATGAGAAAACAAAAAAACTTGAGGAAAACGTATCTACACAGTAACTCTAAATCTTACGTTTTTCAGTTGGAGAACAATGGTTTCTCCTTCCTTTAAGCTGTAATCGACGGATGAAGTGTTCTGAAAGTGTTGTTCCATTTCTTCTGCTGTTTTCTTCTTATTCAAATACCTTAGCAAAGAGAGTGCGACACAGAGATAAGAGATGATTTAGTTGTCTTGAAAGAATTGCTTATTGTCTGAATCTAAAAGAACATTTGTATATTTGGATGGAAGTGGAATGTTACTTCATGTGGTCATGTAATGCTGCTTGGAAATCATATGCTTCAGTTCTTTCCCGGAATCCGATCCCAATAAAAGCATGTCGAACACGTCCAGCTGCAATGCTTCAAACAAGTATACTCAAAAACAACTGCTACAATTGTACAATCCGTATATCTTCATGGTAAGTAAGTACCTATCTTTTCTTCAACACGGAGGACAAAATATCTACAAGACAAAACATAATTGTTTTGTTAGACTAGCTGCACATCATGATAAAGACCAAGTTAAATTCTATGGTTATTTTTTTTGTTACCTGCTACTGTCGATTACAGCTTCTACTGGATGAGGTTCACCATCTCGCAGAAAGGCCTGAGCGTAAAGTTCCCCTGTGGTTTTATCTACAAGTTTAATAATGCACTCTTCTCCTTTGCTCACCACTTTCAATGCTCCTTCCCATGCCCATTTGTTCACGTCCCACTCATCTGCTCTGCACGGATCAATTATAAAAAAGGTATCACTGAATGTCTCTATATCAATCTATCTTCCAGTGGATTACTCGATGCATCTTTGACCTAAGAACCCAAGTTGAGCTGATCAAAATCGAATGTAATTAGAAAAATTACTATCTTGATACAAATTAAGGTTAAGTGAACATTCCTACTAGCTTTAACAATTGGTTCAATAAGGGTTTTGCAAGAATCTCCTAACTACAGATCAGAATGGCTTTCTAATTTTCTGTGATGGAGGCAAGAACGAACCTGTAGGAAGCTGCGCTTTTCCTTGGAGGTATCTGCATACACACAAGAACAAAATTAAGACGAAGACGAGCTCACTTGCTGTGACATTCCCGCAAATTAACAGACACAGGAGAAAACATAAACCGTAGGATAAAATTCAAAACAAATCCATCAAGCTCCAATGTTGTCTATAATCCATTTGTCTTTTGGGAATTCTTTAGTTTATCTAAATAAGGACACTTCACAATGTCAATGAGTTCAAGGCAACCAATTTGGAATCTCAAAACGGTACATGAATGAAGTAATTACGTCACAATTATCTCAAACAGATACTATGATTTCAGAGACCTTATCAAGAAATCATCGAGCCAACAATTTATACCAAAATCCTTGAGAATCTACTATACGAAATCTCTTTGAAAAAATTATGGCGTGATAGTTAACTGTGCAATCGATCATCGATCACTTAAACCATCTAACTGAGACAACAAATTAGGGTGATCAAGACATGAACTTCGACATATGCATATGAAGATGATTTTCTCAATACCTTTGCAAGAAATGATTTTCTCAATACCTTTGCAAGAAATCTATAATGCGAGACTGAGTTTACTAATTAACTTATGATCAGATCCAAATCCATCGAGGGAACTTACAAAAAAAGACCATAACTTCAGCATAAAAGACGCAAAATTCATCACAAATTTCAAATACCCATCTCACTAACTTAATCAAAGCTAGAAATTTACCAAATAAACATAGCATTCAGGCACTTGGAAGAGAGCGATCTCTATAGCTTCTCTCTCCTCGTTATCGTCGACGGACACAGGATCAATGGAAGATTTCTTGTTCTCCTCACTATTTGAGGAAGAAGAAGCTTGATCCATCACAAACCAGATTACTAATCGATCAAACACCTCGTAAAATCTTCAATGTTAAGTCTATGCCGTACTGTGATTACACAATCTGACGAGTCGCGAAGACGAAGAAACGCAGAGGTTTCGCGTTAGGTGTATTACCTCAAAACCATAAGATCTGATTAATTTAATTAAATCTAAACCGTCCATTATGTTGACTTTGAAGACCCGGATATAGCCTGGACACGTGTATTTCGTCCGGCGCTGGGAAGTGGGAAGTCAACATAAAACAGTTGATGGATCAAGTCAAAAACGCTCACGTTTAGCTTTATGGGCCTTAAATGATGGGCATTGGGACAGTCAATCTTTTTGGCATCTTCAGGCTTAATTTTTTTAATCTAGTTTCTGTGTTTGTTTTTAGATGGTTTTTTAATCTAGTTTGAGATATTTATTTTTCTATGTAGCTTGAGATGGTTTAACGTATCTTTGAATCAGTTTTATGGAATGAGACTCAGAGACGTTTAATTATTTTACCTTTTATGGAATGAGACTCAGAGACTTTTATGTATTTTATCTTCTTCTTTCACAATTTTACAATTTTTTTTTGTCCTAAATGGATTATTCCAAGAGGAATTGATAAACCAACCAATGAAAACACGTCCACTTTAAGCCTATGAGCTTTAATGAATGGGCTTTGGCCCAATATAAATATACTGGATATTTTGTTTAAATTAAAATATATGACTCTTCGTGGTGTTGAATAGGTTAAACGCGTGCTTTATTAATTTCTCCTTACCAACTCTCTGTGAGCCAACACTCCTTAAGTCTCAGTGACCCTAATTTGCGCACACGTTACATTGAGAAATGGCGGCTGCAACTTCATCCATAGCTCCTTCTCTCTCATGCCCATCTCCTTCTTCTTCCTCCAAAACCCTTAGGTCTTCGAAAGCCAGAGCCTTGGCTCTTCCCAATATCGGTTTCCTCTCGTCTGCATCCAAGTCTCTGCGGTCGCTAACTGCAACCTTCGCTGGAAATGGTATCGGTTCCGCCACTGGATCTTCCCTCTCCGCTCGGATGGTTGCGTCGTCTGCGGTCAGAACCCCTGTTTCTCTCGATTTCGAGACATCTGTCTTCCAAAAGGAGAAAGTCTCTCTTGCTGGTTACGAAGAGGTTTCTATTCGAATTTGTGGTGATTCTAATTTTTTTTTATTGGCTATCGCTGTTATTGTTGCTAATGTTTTTTTTTGTTTGCCACTGTTTGTTTAGTACATTGTGAGAGGAGGAAGGGATTTGTTCAAGCATCTTCCAGATGCTTTCAAGGGGATTAAGCAGATTGGTGTGATTGGCTGGGGATCTCAGGTAGTTAAATTGTTGGCTCTCTTATCTGATTTTGTTTGTTCTTTCCTTAATCAACATGTTTCCTATTTTTGTGCTTACTAAATTGGTGTGCTTCAATTTGTGAATTCATTACTTAAAGAGCTTGAAACTCAGCTATGATGCTTGTCTACTTTGAAATTGTGAAGATAGTATCTTGATTACGTCATGTGAAAAATTGGAACCTGGAATAAATATAAAGTGTTCTCATTTTCATCCTTTTGATATGTTTGAGTTTGAATGAACAAGATGAATCGATAGGTTGCATGTTCTTTCTCTTCTGCATTTCTCGTAATAAGTTCGATATCTATGTGCAGGGACCTGCTCAAGCTCAGAATTTAAGGGATTCGCTTGTGGAGGCGAAGTCTGACATTGTTGTTAAGGTAATCTCAACTGGTGTGCTGGCTTCATACTGTTATTTATTAGCTTTAGCTTTGCTTTCTGGTGTTACTTGAAGGATATGACTTGATTCAGTTTCCTTTTTTCCTCTACGGAATTGTAGATTGGGCTTAGAAAGGGCTCTCGCTCATTTGAGGAGGCACGTGCTGTTGGCTTCACCGAAGAAAGTGGTACTTTGGGTGATATATGGGAAACTATTTCTGGCAGCGATCTTGTATTGCTTTTGATCTCTGATGCTGCTCAGGTATGTGCATTTCGGAGTCTTAATTATCTTGAATTTTTTTTCTGTAGGTATATGCATCGAGTTTAATGTATCCTCTTTTTTGCAGGCTGATAACTATGAGAAAATATTCTCTCACATGAAGCCAAACAGCATCCTCGGTTTGTCACACGGGTTTCTGTTAGGGCATTTACAGTCCATGGGACTCGATTTCCCAAAAAACATCAGTGTGGTCGCTGTTTGTCCTAAGGGAATGGGTCCCTCTGTGAGGAGGCTTTACGTCCAAGGAAAAGAAATCAACGGTGCTGGAATCAATGCCAGTTTTGCAGTCCACCAGGTTTTCTATCTCTCTACCTGTCTCTACAGTGAAAAGTTATTAGACCCCTGTATTCATTTTTCATCACTGATGCTATATCTGTTTGCAGGATGTTGACGGTAGAGCAGCCGATGTTGCTTTGGGATGGTCAGTAGCACTTGGTTCTCCTTTTACTTTTGCTACTACTCTTGAGCAAGAGTACAGGAGTGACATCTTTGGAGAAAGAGGTGAGTTAGGCATCACTTATAGAACTGTCTTTCTATCGCTTAATCCCATATGTAAAACCTGTCTTTTTTTTTTTGTTAAAGGCATTTTGCTTGGTGCTGTTCACGGAATCGTGGAGTCTCTGTTTAGAAGGTACACCGAAAATGGGATGAGTGAAGAGTTGGCTTACAAGAACACAGTAGAGTGCATCACGGGAACAATTTCGAGAACTATCTCTACCCAGGTTAGTTGGTAGATATCTGTAGAGACCGGAGATATTCGTTTTTGGCCTAAACGGAAATCAAAATTCGAAACCTGTTTCTGATGAATTATAAAATTCAGGGAATGTTGGCTGTGTACAACTCCTTGTCTGAAGAAGGTAAAAAGGATTTCGAGACTGCATACAGTGCATCGTTCTATCCTTGTATGGAGATTCTCTATGAATGTTACGAGGATGTAGCTGCGGGTAGCGAAATCCGAAGTGTTGTCTTAGCTGGTCGTCGCTTCTATGTAAAGACTCCTCTTTCAAAGTTTTCCTTTTTACTTAACCCAAAACAAGTTTGTGCAGGCATGTTGATTGTTGTTTATTTTTACTTGTAACAGGATAAGGAGGGATTGCCTGCATTCCCAATGGGAAAGATTGATCAAACAAGAATGTGGAAGGTCGGTGAACGTGTCAGGAAGTCCAGACCAGCTGGTGACTTGGGTCCGTTGTATCCCTTCACCGCTGGAGTTTACGTTGCGCTTATGATGGCTCAGGTATGTCTTTTGTTTATGTTCGGTTCATGCGGTGTTTTGGTTTCAAATTGGATTTAGATATTTAAAAAAATGTAACTTTAATCTGAAGATTCGTTATTTGGTTTATCGTCGTTTTGGTTCGGTCTTTGTTTGAAGTGTTTTAAAGATAATGTGAATTCCATTGGTTTGTTTTCTTTTTTGTCTCAGTTTGGTTTTGGTTTTGAGAAATTGTGATATCAATTGGTTGGATCTGTTTTGGTTCGGATGTGGCTTAACCCAGATTAAAAGATCCCCTAATTTATTCTACATTATCCAGTGATTTCATGGAATCTAAATCTTGATTTCTGTGGGCTTATGTAGATCGAGATCTTGAGAAAGAAAGGTCACTCTTACTCAGAGATTATCAACGAGAGCGTGATAGAATCTGTGGACTCTCTAAACCCATTTATGCATGCTAGAGGAGTTTCCTTCATGGTGGACAACTGCTCAACCACAGCAAGATTGGGATCGAGGAAATGGGCCCCGCGGTTCGACTACAACTTGACCCAACAAGCTCTGGTGGCTGTGGACAACGGTGCAGCGATCAACAGAGACTTGATCAGCAATTTCTTCTCTGATCCAGTCCATGGTGCTATCGAGGTCTGTGCACAGCTCAGGCCTACGGTCGATATCTCTGTGCCTGAGGACGCAGACTTTGTTCGACCTGAGCTGCGCCAGTCTAGCAACTGAGTGAAGTATTGAAAAGTTTACGAGTCTTCTCTTATTGTAATCGGATTTTTCGTAAAAGCCAGAGTTTGGTATGTTTTTTCTTAGGCGTGAGTGAGGATTTGAATAATTATGTCTCTTTGTCTCTTTGGAAATCCAATAATGGGATGCTCTCTGCTTTTGGTCTTAAAATCTTGTTAAAGAGTTTCTCGCGAGACTAATTACTGATATCTATCTTCTTCTTCCTTGTTTTCAATCCATCGATTTCTATTTCATTCCAAGGGCAGCTAATGCTAGAGCTGACTCCATCGCAAAACAGGCTTTAGTGGGCCTGAATATTGTCTCTATTTAAGTTTCTATAAGAAGGATTTGAACACAAAAAAAAAAGAGTTTCTCGCGAGACTAATTATCATTTTTAGGACATTTGAAAAATTACAACTTAATTTTGGGTAAGAACGTCCAGAATTCAGGATAATTTGGCGGCTATGTGATTCTATCATCAAAGAAGCTAGAATTGTTTAAAGTTATTTATTGATCATTCGAGTTCTAAGGGTTTTAGCTGCTATGCATAATTTCACGAATTAATTTTGGTTCCAATAGAAAACTTGCTATGTATAATTTCACGAATTAATTTTGGTTGGTTTCGATAGTAACTTGATTGAAATTATATTTGCATGTTGAATGATTGAACAAAGGATAAAGGGATAAGTTTCTGCAAATGCCAGATAAATATTATTTTATTGATTGGGATATATGTATATACTATACTATGTAGTCACTAGTGACTCCATTTCCAAATATATATATATATATATATAACTATTATTACAATAGGAATAATAATTTCTGTTCTTTTTTTCAAAATTAAAGATAAAGAGAAACTTGGCAGAGCGCAATGCTTTTGTCTCTCTTTTAACTGTGAAATGAAGAATCTAAATTATTAGAATCACATGTAATGACATGTGCTCTCTCTCCCTCTGCACATTTTCATTATATGTCAAGTCTTTTTCTCTTCCCCCTATTTTTTTAAAAAAGAGAGATAAAAATCCACAAAGCCTGAAGAAAAAAGGGAAAACAGAGAGGAAAAAAAGTTCAGAATAAATAAACAAATAAAAATTCTGCAATCATATGATAGTGTGACTCAAGAATTAGAGAAAGACAAGACTAACATGTGTAGCCAATCATATTGTATAAC